TGTCTTCTCCATTCTACCACGGTAATGTTACACGTGATTCTACGCGACTTGGCGAAGTAAATGGTGCCCAAACGGCACTCCTAGAAGATATTAAACATAAGAATTGAATTGATAAATCGTAAATACCCTGATACTGTATAACGATTTTATCCATTTAGCTGACAACGAAAATTGACTTACAACAAAGCATAATTATTAAGTCCAGTAAACTCTTGTTAGCTTCTAAAATAAATATAAAACAAGAAACAAAAAACAATGAACAGGTGCATAATTGGTATAAAACATAAACGCATCAAAACAATAAAAATCTAATAGGTACTTAAATAAACTTACAAATGCTTCAATGTCCATGATGCTGCAATTCAATCTGTCCAAATAAGCAAAAAATAAATGATAAAATAAACAAAATTAATACCAAAAATGGAAAAATGTATATTTAAAAAAATAATCACAAATGACATGAAAAAAAAAATACAGTGCGTTATTTATCAAATGTAAAGTAACAAATAAAATAAAATTTATCTACAATTATTGCATCTAGCAATATTTATATTCTACAGACAAATTAAGTTAAAAATCTCTATTTTTATAGCCAAAACGAAATTTCCAATCAGACAATAATAAACAAAGGTAAACTTACGTGGCCTATCGTTTTTGGATTCGATATCTGAAAAGCAACATAACAACATTTGAAATGATTTCCTTTAATTAGGTATATCCTGTAATTAATGAATTATATAAATAATCTGGAAATAATTTTTACCTCTCTATCTGAATTTTATTAGTGACGATAACATATTCAATATCTGGCAATGATAAATTTAATTAAGTTAAGGTTTATAGCTAAGAAAAGGTCTTCAATTATCTGAACAAAGATGAAATTTATTAAAAGTTTGAACTTACAATTATTTACAATGTTAAACTAAAATTTCATTCAATTGGACAATAATACGAAATGCAAAATATCAAAAGGTCATCGAACCTAAGGTAAATCGATCAACTCACCGGTGCCTCGGAAAGCTGCGCAACGTTCAATAACAACACAAATCAAGCACTTAAAATTTGCAAAATACGTAATTAAGGACAATTCGACATAATTACATTTTATTTTATCAAAATAAATAAAGCAAATAGCAATACGCGAATTATCTTGAACTTGAACTTTGACATTGGCATTTGACAATGAATGTAGATACAGATAAAAATATATGTTTATAGTGTTGTTATCTCTTGTTTACCGGTCAATCTTTTCTAATAGGAGGTTCTGATCTATGTGGAGGACCCCACGTTCTTTTTTCTAGGCGAAACATATTTTTAATCAATAGAACGTATTAATAAATACGACCCAGGGGAGTTGTCACCACCCGGCAATACAAACCCTGCTGTCGGGGCGTCGTGGTTGAGTGCGAAATCCACTAGACGAAGAATTAAGACGGAGGAGGTTCCGTTAGGTTTTAGTCGGTAATACTGGCTTTGCCGGTGAGTCCCAGACCTCGTGCCTAACTGCATTTTCCATCGTTAAAAAAATGGGAGTTGTCACCGAAACTCTGCTAGGAGTCTGGTGTTAGCTGAACTTGTTAACACCATATAGAAAAGATCTAAATTAAAAATAAAAAAAAACTGGAACCTCGAACTCGAAGGTATTAATAGAAGGTTCTGCTTGAGTCATACATCTAAATATTTTATATTATAAAAATAATTTATGACGTTCGTTTCACAACTTAAAAGCTAGCCCGCGTGTATTACATATTCAAAATCAAATCAGGAAGCCTTGCATTAAACGAGCTGTCATATTAATCAAGATTTCGCATCATTTTAATCACGGAGGATAAAATCGTTTTGACTCTTACGTTATTTTAAATACTTTAAATTCAATGATATTATTTTAAAAAGACAAATCATGAAATCATATGTTGAATTATTAATAAAATATATGTTTTTAAAATTGGTGGGTTTAAATTGTTAATATAAAAACTTCTTTACTGAAAAATACGGCGCTGCTATTACAACGTAGTCTAAATGGTAATTATTATTAACATCATTACATAATAATTTATCACTGTTCCGAATTTACTTCAAGCGTTATCTTTTAAGCATAAAAGTGGTTTAATAAACATTTACTTAAACTCATGCAGTAATCGAACTTGCGACCTCTTGATTGACCTGCGATATATTGAATTTCATAAATACACATTTTTTTTAATATAGTATCGTTTGTTGTTACAACTTATTTCCACATAATTAACTAGCGTTTTCCCGCGACTCTGCACGCGTAATTCGATTACGGGTATGTAATAATGTACTATATCTTATAAATTATAACCTATGTGCTACTCTAATCAGTAATGTAAAAGCTATATTTATTATAAAGTTTCATCAAAATCCGTTCAGTAGTTTTTGTGAGAAAGGGTAGCAATCACTCACGTTTATAATATTAGTAGGATTTATTTAGTGCTGTAGTTGTTAATTGCTAACCAAGATTAAGAAATTAAAGTCAGTATTGTGAGAAACATTTTATTTGCAGTTGTAAAAACTGTACAAATCTTAACAAACTTATAAATTATCATCTACTATGGACCTTCCATGGCACTGCTGACGAAAAAAGCCACAACACACCAGACTACATGAGACTACACGAATACCTTCAATTCCTATAATAACATCAGTCGTTTCAATTGCTTCTAATTTGACCAAACGTAGTCTAAGAAATATGCTTTCATGGCTTTTGACTTCATTATTGCTTTTTAAAGAACTTTCACTCACTATTACAACTGTTACACGGCGTACCTTTAAAAAGTATACAAATAAAATTACAAAATGGGAGAATTCGATTATATTCTGTTAATTATAAAATTATTAACTTTACTTATGACTAAACGTGGTATATGTGAAGATGATTATGTTATAGGTATATACATTATACACATCCAAAAGCACCATATTTGACACTCGTTATATATTTCCCCATACTGTATCATATGTCAAGTTATTTTTCATTTATTTTTTCAATAATAATTTGTTACATATTTTTTTTATTGTCTAACATTCAAAATAGAGGATTTATGGAGAACCCAAAAATTCGAAAATAATAAAAAGTTTTAAATTTTAGTTAATCATAAGCAAATTAAATAAATATTAGTAATCAGTTCACTAATGGTGTTAAAACAAAAATAAAAATCAATATGTCTACTTAACAAAGCAAGTGTACAGATAATATATGTTCTATTAAATTACTCGCTATGTTAAAATAATAATTTTAACAATAAAGGGTCAACAACTAAAATTGATTTATGTACATTAAGACTAAACGATTGGTTAACAAACATACATAAAGGGTTTAAAAATAAATAAATTTAACGCTATCAAGCATTTGTTCGAATTTATATATTATCTACATATTAGATATAAATATATAAATACAGATATATATTATATTCTCCTATTGAATAAATACACAGTCAAACAGTTCAAAATGCAACCCGACGCTTCAATCAAGTAATTAAAATGCAATGATCAGAAATATCGACAATAATAATAATTAATTAAAAAGGAAAATTGATTAATCTCCATTTTTATATAAATATTAATGTATATAATATGCGATAAATTGATTATTTGTCTTATGAGTAAATATGTAAAAAGTTAAACTTTTGGAAGATTTTATTGATTTGATATCGCAATACATAATAATGTAAGGTCACTTTCCTCTAAAATCTATTATATTATAATACAAGAATGAGCAATTTCAAATATTAAATTACATACGATATTATAAAATTTCTCAAAAATTTAGAATCGATAAAATGTTCTACGAGTAGAATCCGAGATATGTGATTTGTAATTTTCAACAGACTGTTAATTCTTATTTAAGAAAAGAGTTGCCATGTGAAAATTATATGAACGGGAGGCGAGTTCGTTGTATTAAAAGTTACAACACAGATAATAAATAATATATATCTAGTAACGCTCAACAACTAAACTAAAATTTATGAACAATACGCAAATTGTGAAACCGAGTCGAGATATTACACACATGATGATTTTTAAATACAATAAGTTAATTCTTAGCAAGTAAAGTTAACAATAAAATATCAAACACGACAAAGATAGCAATATTTTAAATAAAACTATCTTTTCGGATTTTTTCGCGGATTAATTATGAGTTTTTGGTTCCCGATGTTTCGAATGCTTTACAGAAATCATGGTCACGGGAGAGACTGAGGTATTAGATGTTTTAAAAGGTTATTACTTATATACTAGTTACAGACAGTGCCTACCCACAAAATTATAAAATGAATTCAAAAATACAAAAATGGCAGCCAAAAATGGGAGCCAAAAATCAAAATAAATCTGCGAAAAAATCCGAAAAGATAGTTTTATTTAAAATGTCAAATATTCGCGTAAATCTAAGAAAGTATGAGAGACAGCAATAGTACATTGCGTAATTTGAACAATTTTAGAGAGAGATAGCAATGGTCGAACAAATTTTAAACATCCATGTAATCGAATAACACTGTTAATAATTATTGATACGATTATATATGAAATATTGTATTGGCAGAGAGCTGATTCCTGAGCTGCAACACGAAGACCTGATTTCGACAGATATCGATTGTTATCACTTAAGTAAATATTAAAGTACCCACAATCCCTATTGAAAAACTTCAATAGGATCACATCAAAAGCAATAAAAGCCATATAGAAACCAATAAACATTTATTGGTTTCTATGTGGCTTTTGTCGCTTTTGATGAGATCCTATTAGAGTTTTTAAATAGGGACGCTAAATAATATGAATTGTTGCTATTCAGTAAGTAGTACTGTAAGCTACTGTCGTTAGTTCCAAAAACTGCCGCTAGAGCAATCTACCCACTGCCAATAACCATTTAGTAGTATAGCTTGAAAAATATATAGAAATATTAAATATATCTTTGGGTTTCAAGTGTTGTATTTAAAAACAATCATGTGCAAGAGCAGGGCGCAGACAGAGAGCGGCGCTCAGATCGGCCGCGTGAAGTTGGCCGGGAACATTCCCTTCTCGTTCGTCGATTCCTTTATGCCCATTAGCCAGCCTTCCTCCTGATGGAAAAATAAATAATAATAATAAATAAATATGTTGGGACTTTAACACACAGCATCATCTAGTTCCATGGCAAGCTACGAGGCCTGTGTTATGGATACCAGATAGTTGATACACTACATATATATAAAACTTTAAGTATATACATTTTATAAATATAAACACCCATGACTGAAGTACAAACATTCGTGCTCGTCACACAAATCATTATACATACAGCTTACCATGCAACTTGATGACGCTGTGTGTTAATGTCCCAACATATTTATTTATTTACTAGCGACTTACCCTCGCTTGGCTTGGGTGCTAGGTATGTTTTTTTTGAGTAGGACCTTAAACCTTTTTCTAAAATAAAAGTTACTCTTTATAACATCGGCTATCTGCTAGTGCAAGTCCCGTTATAGTCAGCCTAGCCGTTTTAGAGATGATCCGAAACAAGCAGACAGACGGACAGATAAAAAAAAATATTTTTCTTATAAGTACCGTATATAATTCCATTTGTATTTAGTAAAAAACTGTTATTTTGACATTACAAACAAACACTTCAATTTCATTCATTTGTATAGATTTTATTGACATACATATAACAGTTTCAATATATGATTACTATGTGAGTGTGCACTGTGTGTGTGTGTGTGTGTGTGTGTGTGTGTGTGTGTGTGTATGTACCTGCTCGTCGGGGTCGTCGTACTCGACGACGCGGATGACGTCGCCCACGTCGAAGGAGAGCTCGTCGCTGTCCTCGCGCGTGTAGCGGTAGGTGGCGCGCACGCGGTACAGCGCGCCCGCCGGCAGCCCGCCCAGCGTCGCCCCTACATACGTACATTTATAGGATCATTAATAAAATTTTAGAGATATTCCTTGCTTATATTTTTACTAGCAGAACCCACGGCTTCCTATGGGATGAATTTCAAAAAATGCTAAAACACGTATTTACTTATTTATATTGAAGAGCATTAATAAGATTTTTTTGGGTTATATTATAACGTATTTTCCCGTGGGAATGAGATGATCTCCCGCAATAAACAAACAAACACACTTTCACATTTATAATATTAAGTATGAATATTCACTTAACATATTAAAAAAACGTCTCAAAAGACACTATCTATCACAGTAGGGTTATTCTGTCATTAGTGCCGTACTATGTAATTTGTTTATGCATATATATTCATATATAGACATTATTTTATTATTATATATGTATGTTATGTATATATAATAAAAATATATATGGTAAAACTAATATTTTATATATGTAAATTTTTATGTATGTTTATTTATATTAAGTTTTAATGATTTGCACTTTATGCACCTTTCCGCTCACTTATTTTCTTATATCCTTTACTATCGGTTGCCTGTAAGAGATCACTTTTAGTGATAAAGCCGCCTTTGGACATCTCTTTAATTGTATAATTAATTTTTTTATGTTAATGTACTATTTTCTTGTGCAATAAAGTGTTATAAAAAAAAAGAATATTCAGTACTTTTATAATCATCAGTGAGTTACATAATTTATAATAATAATTTTCAGTATTACAAACAATTCGTGACTAGTCACTACATGGTGGTACCGACATCTCTGTGCAAAAGTGCAGGACAACAAATTAATATCCGCGCCCTTATTTAATTTTTTTTAAACACATTCCTATCGGCCAAGGTCACATAACTAAATGCCTTATACATAAATCATTACAAATTAATCAAATATATTATTTTCCATTAAAACGCTCAATATATAAAAATGCAACCTTACATATTATACATATACATAGACTCCCTCGGTACTCTAGTGGCCCTAGCATATACGACTGTACAACCAGAGGTCCTGGCTTCGAGTACCGAGAAGTGATTGAGTATTTCTGTTAAGAAATTCTCAGTAACAACCCAGAGTTGAAGTTGACGGTTTTTTTTGAGCAAGTAAAACTGTTGCTACTGTGCTTACACGCATTATCTGGGTTCATTATTCATTAACTATTATAGAGTCTGTTACGACGAAACCCATGCGCCATGGTTGCCAAATGCTTTTATTTAATTTGTTTAAGTAGTAAGTACTTAAATACATATACCGTAAGTAAGTATAAATTCATATTTATAAATTTTTAAGAAAGATGTATTTTCGAATGGTATTATTTTAATATTTATCATGTTTCCACTATTTTCATATTATGTAATTATAATTATCAAAATCAAAGTGAAAATGGAATGATAGAAATAACAGTAGGTACCTATACTACATTTGAAGAAGTACATATATATGAAACATAATATTATAATATAATTGACAAACAGACAAACAGTCTAAAATCCAAATCGTTGTTTGAATTATTTCCAGATCAAGAAATAAACAATAAAACTGTATATGTTGAATTTAAATTAATATGAAGAATTGTCAAGAATTAAAAATCCAATAGTTTAAATTTCATCAGAATCGCAAAAGTGTTAGACGACATATTACGTTAGTATATCAACTTCTTAATACATTCAAGCGAAGCATAAACATCAAGCCATTCCACAGTATATTTACACAATAAGATATCGGCTGCCTGCAAACAGATATATATTTACATATAATACATACATACATTAATATAAACAGTAGATATGGACATTATAATAGAATTTAATGAATAGATAATTAATATTTTTTTATATTATCTGTAATTGTTGGATTTGTCAATTCAAAATATCAATAAGTCTGCTCGATAATTTTTCGAAAATATAAGAAAACACAATGAATTTATTATTTATATATAAATAACTATATATAAAAGATATATAGTAGATGAATAGTGAGTGATAAAAATTAAATATAATACTTACTAAGTATATATTATAAAAAAAATGAGTTTTATATCTAATGGCTACTACTATAACGAAAGAAATTAGGATTCATATATTTATTAAATAGAGAAAGAGATATTTCAAAAGAACTAATTGAAACAAAACTTTCATTACTGTTTAAATTTATTAACTCAATAATACTATTTTTCTAATTTTACTCAAATTGATTGAAAGCATTTAAGAATACATAAAATTATCACACGCTATATATACAATATACATATATTATACATTACGAGTCGCCTTTCTAAGTCACTCACCAACAGGTATATCGTAAACTTCTTCGTTTTTCGTTTCATTTTGTTTTTCCGTCTCTTTCTTATCCATTTCCTTTTCTATTTCCTTCTCTTTCTCTCCATCTTGTTTTTTTTCATCGACGTTGTTGTTGAGTTTTGCCGCCGTTTCCGGCGACCCTGCAGGACCATCTGAGACCTACTTTACTACGTACTAGCTATTGTTTATGCTATACATATACATACATACTGTACTTTAGCATGGGGGTAATTATGTATAGATATATGAATGAGGTTATAGGATAAAAACATACGTAAATGCCATTTTTAATTATATTGGGGGCGTTAATGAATCTATTTTAAAGTTTTATGTGACTTCTTCGAAAATGGAGAATAATAAAACTAACTAAAGGATCTGGACTGCAAATCGAAAACTAGCAATCAATTCTTCTAAAACTACAATAAACCACTATATAGTCACTCATACCTTTTATAGTTTAATTTATACATTACATATCTACGACTTAAATAAGTAAAACATTGCAATACAATAACAGTCCAACTGGCGCGTACATACATACATCATAGTTTGTTTGACTTACCGACAGGTATATCATACAGTTCCTCCACCTTCTTGTCCGCGTTGTCGGGGGAGCCCCGCGCGGGCGAGCCGGGGGGGCCCCGCGCGGGGGCCTCGGGGGAGCCCCGCGCGGGGGCCTCGGGCGAGCCGCGGGAGTCGGGCGAGGCCCTCGCGGGGGCCGCGGGGGAGGGCGGGGAGGCCCCGTTGAGCGCGGGGGAGGGCGGCGCTACACACGCATGCAATGCTTTGGTGACTCACTTTATATATTATTGCTATATATGTATATATTATATACAGGCTATATCTTTAGTGTTGATAGAGTGAATAAAAATTCGAATGTGAAACGTATACACTGTATTAGTTTTGTTTTTTTTTATTTTATGTCATTTTTTTAACATGTTATATAAAGTGAATCTGCCAATGTTTAATACATTCTTAAAACATTGGTTAAATGGATATTAGTCATGGCTATGATAATAAGTTCGATGTAATTTTTGAACCAATTATCGAGAAATATAGTGTAATTTAAAAATAAATGCTATGTATGCAATCATTTTTAAAAAGTATATTTGTTAAAATTTTATTACTAGAAAGTACCAAACGAACATCAAAAAAACTCACAAATCACAATACACATTAAATATTAGCAACTAAAATATTAATGACAAAAAAATAAAAATTTGTGTAACTTTTGTTTTAAATATTTAGACCCAACCCTACTCATAGTCATAAATAAAAAAAATATATTAAATCACTAATTAATTTACAATGACGTGACAAAAGTTGCACAAATAATTCGCCAACACAATCAAAAATGCACTATCAAAAAAAGAAAAGTGAAAAAATGTAAACGTTCTTAAATCAAATCTTAAATACAAAGAAAAAAAAGAAAAAAAAACATATACCTAACAATATATTAATACACATACTTATACACACATACACACGTGCATATAATATACACACAGAGAGTGGACTGAGTGTATCTACCACTCGTTAGCTGAAAATGGTGGACAGTTGCGACAGGCACAACGAATGTGCATCCAGAAGTCTTTTGTATTCATTGAACTATCATCAATGAAGATAGATATTTATAACCATTTTAAATTGCATTATAATATTATAATTTTTTCACATTCCATTTATAAATTCAAATTAGAATAACAGACATGACAGAACCAATTGGTCGCACGTTCGCTTTCTCTTTCTAGAGAATGGTCAATATCATGAGTGTATCGCTCAGTCCATTACCTACGAGCCAGGCGTATGATATACTTATTGTATTTCAATGAATACAGAAGAGTTCTGGTCGCACATTCGTTTCGTCTCTGTCCCGCCAGTCCACCGAGGTCAGACCAGGTACAGCTGACGGCTGGCAAAGAAACAGTCAGACCACTCCCTATGCCTACGGTCGCACACGCAGCGGGCACTCACTCTGCAGCGTGGCGTGGGCGGGGGCGGACGCGGGCGCGGCGGCGGGCGGCGAGGGCGGCGCGGCGCTGCCGTTGTGCGCGGCGCGCGCCGCCGGCTTCTTGTAGGAGCCGCGCTGGCTCTCCATCGCCAGCTTGTCCGTTATCGCCTCCAGCTCCGCGAACACCTGGCGCGAACGACCGACATGCTTAGACGAGACGACGCGACACCACACGACATTTATTCCGACAGCTTTGTACATGATACTTTCTTAGATTTACGCTAATATTTGACATATATACATATAATAAAATTCTGAGTCTATTTTGTACATTAAATACTTTTTTGGAAATTCTTATTGAAATAGTCATTATTATCAATATAGAGACCGAATCTATAGTTTTTAGAATTTTTGTTTGTCTATAACCGCATCACGAAAAAACGGCTGGACGAATTTTGAGATATAATGATAGTTAGCTATCCGGGTCAACATATAGGATACTTTTAGGACGGGAAAATATCTCATCTCTGAGAAATCTATATAGATAAATAAAATTGAAGTGTCTGTTTGTAATGTCAAAATAACAGCTTTTTTTCTAAATGCGTATGGAATTATATAAGGTATTTATAAGAAAAATACAATTTTTTAAATTTTTATCTGTCTGTCTATTTGTTCCGGCTAATCTCCGAAACGGATAGGCCAATTTTGACGGGACTTTCACTGGCAGGTAGCTGATATGATAAGAAGTAATTTAGGCTATTTTTATTTCAGTAAAAGAATTAGAATTCCGCTCAAAAAAAAAACTAAACGTTAAAACGTAAGTCGGGACGAACCCGAGCGGATCGAGAGTGAGTCGCTAATAACTAAATAAATAGACACCTTCATTTTGCTCGGGTGCATCCCTAGGGTAGTTTAACACTAGCTTAGCCTACGTGTTGCTCCAGCTTATAGTTTATCGTTCTCACCCAAACCGTCCAGACGAGACAGACATATTATAACTAACTTTTCGTATTTATAAGTATAATTCAACATTCTCTTTTATTAACAATATCACATAAAATGAAGAAAATAATTCAATTTGTTAATTTTTAAGCGTATAATACACTTAAGTAACCAGTACGAATTATGAGCATATATAATAGCCTGACCGATTTTGATAACGGCGATCAACCTCATTACACATTCAGCTCTATGTATTTTTAACGTCCCACTGCTGGGCACGGACCTTCCTTCAATACGAGGGGAATCAGGCCATAGTCCACCACGCTGGCCAAGTGCGGGTTGGCGGATTGCACATGTCTTTCGAAAACTTGCTAGGTTCTCTCAGATATGCAGGTTTCCTCACAACGTTTTCTTTACCGTAAGATAAGTTTACGACTTATCTTACTTATTTACGTATTTGAAATCATTCGCACATGAAAATATCAAAAGTTCGAGACCCGGGTTTGAACCGGTTTCACTCGGTTTCCAGGCGAGAACATTATGACTAGTCAATAATAATTATTCACTAATAAAACTATCTTTTCGGATTTATTCGCAAATTTATTTTGATTTTTGGTTCCCGACGTTTCAAATGCTTTACAGCAATCATGGTTACGGGAGAGACCTTTTGTTTAAAAGTATTATATTCACTAATAATTGTAACTAAACGTACAATTCAGAGTTCATTAACCTATAAAACCTACCTTTGAGCTCTCAGAATGGAAAAGTTGTTCAGCCGAGAAGAGTGTTTGCAGATTGTTCACGTAGAACAGCACGCGGGAGTCGTAGAGTGCGGGCAGTTCGTCGTGCAGTTCGGAGTTAAGCACTTCGTATGTACGCTTTGCTTCTTCTAAGTGCTCGCGGCCTTTGGTTACCTGAAATTTTGATTCAGTTATACCAGACTAATCTATAGAATCGTCTAACCAAGGAGACTAAACAGGGCATAGTGAGGGGCGTGCGGGGAGACGCTGATGAGGCGCACCCGACTGGCATACATACTTTCATATGATAATCGGGGAACGGCTTTACGGTTGACGGGTATAGCTGTAACTTGCCACGAGATGGCACTAAGGTGTTTTAACTTTGAGACCGTTCATCATGAAAATTGGTATTTTTCACAACACTTGACAGCAATTTCCATTGAAATCAATGACCTAGTGTGTGGATTTTCATATTGTGGTTTTACTGTTATGACATTTATTCTACAAGTTTCATCATCGTCACTAGTACTTTTACCATAATTTGTTTTATTCATAACATAACTCAATCCTTAAACTGGTAATAAATTACGGGAACATTACCAATTTTGGTTGTTTTTTTTGCCATATTAAAAGGCTCTGGCGGCAAGTCGGCGAAACAAGCTTTTTCACGTCTAAAAAAGCATGTATCAAAGTATAAAGAGTTAAATCCCAAACAAATAGAAATATGATATGTATTTTCGGAATTATGTATTTCGATCAGTTACATTAATTCCATATTACTTTTGTAGGCCAAGTATCCTTTTTGAAATATGGCCCTTATAAAAAAGTTAGAAGACGCGTAACATTATACAATAATAATGAATATCACATTCAAAACTACAAGACAATTCATGCTTTATACTTTTATAAAATTTCTGTATAAAACAAAAGATTATTGAAAACGACAAATTGATCTATAATAAAGATAAAATTATCAAAATATAGTTCTCAGATAATTATGTACTCAAAACACCATTTTTAAATAATGCAGTCATCATGAAATAACATACATTCCATCCCGTTAGGTGCCGGTTTCCGCACACATACCTCAACAGTTATCTACTTTCTTCATACATACATACATACATACATACATACATACATACATACATACATACATACATTCTAACAATACGGGTGGAATTCGTAAACTGAGGCTGTGCCATTATCTCATACTAATTATCCTACAAAATACTAAGTAAATATAATAAGTAAAATTCTTTGTACCATAGGTGTCTAAATTGGCTTCTTCCTCTATAATTTAAACAAAAACTATAAAATTGATCCCGCGGCATAGAAAATTTAAGTTTTACAATAGTTAAAATTGATAAAAAGCTTGTTATAAACAAACCTTGACGTCATCTCTTCTCTTAGCGGCATTGGCCTGTAGGTTTTGGAAACTGTGCCTCTGACTGTCGTAGTCCACTAATTTCCTTCCACGTTTTTCGACTTTTTTCTGAAAATTTCAACAATATTTATGATTATATATAATTTTAGTAAGCTCTTATAATATTACATATAGACATTATTGTATTTACAAATTATAAGAAAAATAAATCCAATGTTAGTTTAGACTCAGAACTGACATTGGTCAATATATCAACCAAATGTTTACATTTAAGCTCAAAGTTCCTTCGTGTCTTCTTTACTCTAGATGACATTGACGAACTAATCTGTGCTCAACTGGCACTCTTTGAAGAATTAACAAGAGAATTGATCGATTGAAACCTTAATTTATCTCACTCACCCTAACTTCCGGAAACTGGTTGGTATACGTGTTGAGAGGTATGAGTACTTGATCGCCTAGTTTGTGGGAGAAGTCCTGCCATAACATCTCCATGTTCTGCGCTTGTACGTAGAGCAGGTCGTGGCCCGACCACCCGCTTTCGTACACCTCTGTGATCGCCTCCATTAGGGTTTTTGATGCTGTTTGAACGGCTGGAATTGATGATTTATTATTATTAGCAAAATAAGGAAAATGACAGTTTTTAAAACTATAAACATTATATAGTACCTACATAATACATACTTTCATTCAAAAATTAAGCCATCCTACTAAGAATAGTTTGGTATTGAGAAGTGAGATATTATCCATACTAATGTTATAAATGTGAAAGTTTGTTTGTGTTTGTCTATTTGTACTTCTTTCACGTCGAAACAAAGTGACGAATTGGCGTGTTTGTGTGGAGAGCTGGAGAGTGACAAAGGCTACTTTTCAACGCGGCAGATTATCTCATTCCCACGAGAAAACACGTTATAATACAACCCACAACAATTCATCACACTTTACCTATGTACATACATGATACATGTATAATATATATGTAGTCTATCTATTCCATTCTATCCGTTAAAACGCACCTAAGGATTGCGTCGCTAGTAATATATACGCAGTATCGTAACTTACATATTCACCTTACGATTTTACATCATCATAACTAATATCCTGGTTTTCAATTCATCTTTACTGTGTTGTGATGAATGAAGATGATGATGAAGTGACAGACAGACATAAGAACGAAACAAGTTATAGATGATAATACAACACTTGTAAAAATAATAATACAACGAACAACGCGGTAAATACATTCAAATATGCACAAACGAAAATAAAAAAAAACCATCAAATGGCACGTTAATAACTGTTAACTTCCATCTGTAATTACGTTATTAAATTGAAACGAGTGAATTATAACTAACCTTGCTACCCAATTTAGTGGCATGTTGTCAATCCGTTCAAATCAGTTTAAACAATTCATGCTATTCAATAATTATGAGTTATTAACTGTTGCCAGCGACTTTTACAGCAACTATTTATCTATATGTACTAATATTATAAAGAGGAAAGTTCTGTTTGTTTGTACCGAAAAGTTTGTACCGAAGATAGTTTGAGATCCTAGGAAGGATATAGGGCAGTTTTTATCCCGAAAATCATCCTTTAAGTGGGTGAAAATGGGGATGAAAGTTTGTATGGGGAAGCAACCTAGGGACGAACCCGATCGAAGCGAGGGTGAGTCACTAGTTAGTAATTATATTGAGCGTTTCTTTAGATTAATTCAACTAATAGAAATAAAATTTAGTAATACCTTTTATGAAAGTAAACATTTATACCTCGTATGCATCGTATGTAGTTGTTGAATTCCTTTTGCAATCGTGTGGCCTGCTGATGCTGTCGGTTGAAGTTCTGGAGGTGCTCTTCGAATATATCGTCCAGCGTCCGATCTACTTTGCCGAGATTTTGAAGTAGCTGAAACAAGCAATAAACTTATTAGAAAAAATATATTAAATATTAAAAAAAACGGAATACCCACTGTTATAAATGCGAAAGTTTTTACATATGTATGTACGTTTGTTACTTTTTTATGCTGAAAAGGTTGCATTGATTTAAATAAAATTTCGTACACAGCTGATAGAAATGATATAGAATAAACCATAGGCTATTATCCATCTAGGGACGCATCTGAGCGAAAAGAAGTGAAGGTGAGTCGCTGGTCCCAGTAATATTATGAATGCGAAATTTTGGATGGATGTTTCTTACTCAATCACGCCAAAACGACTGCTCGGATCTAGATGAAATTTGGCACAGAGATAGATTATAGCTAAGAATAGAACATAGGTTACTTTTATCCCGGAACAATGTACGGTTCCCGTGGTATAATTTGTTTTTGTTTTTCACTAGAGCGGAACGAGGATGAGTTACTAGTAAGTAATACATTAATTTTCAAAGAATGATAAAAAGGCTTATTCTTATTTATGTACAACTAGCATTGCCCGCGGCTGCGCCTGCGTTCAGATGACCAAAAACCAAATTCTTAGGTTTTACATATTAGTATACTCTTACAATGCACTTTTTGTATTTTTCTCAGAAATGAGATATTTTCCCGAGGTAAAAAGTATCCTATATGTTGACCCGGATGACCAGCTACCACCATACCAAATTTCATCAAAATCCCTCCAGTGGTTTTTCTGTGATGCGGTAACAGACAGACAGAAAAAATTCTAAAAACTATAGATTCGTCATCTGTATCGATAATAACGCTTATTTCAATAAGATTTTCTAAAAAATATTTAATGTACAGATTCGGCTTAGTTACAATTTTATTATATGTATTGATAAGACCTGAGGTAAACAACTCCTTAAATGAACATACCCATTTCCAATACATAAGTAACACGTTACATGCATATTAATGTAAAGATTACAGGTACCATGCATTAATTAAAACACCTACACTTATGATGTGATGTTATGAAATTAGTGAATTATTCGCTTAGTAAGGTTGTCTACAAAGTTATAAATAAAACTATCTTTTCCGATTTATTCGCGGATTTATTTGGATTTTTGGTTTCCGACGTTTCGAATGCTTTACAGTATTCAATACAACAGCAGAAAGACTCTTTCCCGTGACCATGATTGCTGTAAAGCATTCGAAACGTCGGAAACCAAAAATCCAAATAATCCGAAAAGATAGTTTTATTTAAAATGTCAAATATTCGCGTAAATCTAACAAAGTATTATACAAAGTAATAGTTTAAAAACCTACCTACCTACCTGCGGCTTGTCTGTCTTTTTGTGGTTTATAAGATTTTGCATATAGATGTGTATGTCCATTGAAAATAAGTAGTTTACTAACATGTGTGTTTACGATATTTTAGAAAGTTATACGCAACGCAAGCGGTATCGTCGAGTTTTAAGCGGAATTGATTAGAAAATTTTAATTTAAGATAAGAAAAAACGAAATCTATATCTCTATTAAAAGTGAAATTTACATTTCTCATCGTAGGTCAATATCAGCCCGGGGGTCCACAGGTGTTTAATTTTTATACCGATATTTAAATATTTATAATTAAATAGTGATGTATTACGTACCGTATCTAATATATGTATGTATGTATATGTATATTTAGACTTTTTATAATTAAAATTATTTAAAAATATTTTGTTGTATAAAATTATATATTTGCTACAAAACTTTTAATGATAATAATTAATTTTCCTTACATAATACACTTAATATCTTTTTTATCTATACTTAATATTATATAGCGGTAAAGTTTGTGAGGTTGTAGGGAATAATCTCTGGAGTTACTGAACTGATTTAGATGAAATTCGGTAAGAGGACACTTTTTGTCACGAAAATCATCCAATAGGGGGGGGTGAAAATGAGGATGAAAGTTTGTATGGGGAATCAACCTAGGGAAAAGGTAAAGAATTGTACTTTTTCTCAGCTGCATGCATTCGTTTTATTATCAATGGACTATTCCAAACACGTTTTGGCTTAATGGTAAATGAAAGAAACCTACGTAATTACGTCAAACACTATAGAGCCAAGTAGGTGTGACAACTGTCTCCGGTTTCAGCAAGTGTCTCACCTTTCGCAACCGCGTATGATAGTGTTATAATTATATAATTCAGATGCCGAGGTGTCAGAATTAGGGTTGCTCAATGCAACGTGACATTTATTTGTTCCATCTCATATGAAAACTTAACCTTTAGTTAGCAAATTTTATAATAGATTATGATTAGATAATATTGATTTATTAGTATACGTTAAATAAATTAATGTATTATATGTATATTGATATCTACGATGTATACATATGTATAGAACACACACATCTTAATGCCTTTAAACGAGCAATTTTTGTATATTTATTTATTTATACATTATGTACAGGCGATCTCAGAAACGGCTCTAACGATTTCGCTGAAATTTGGTATGTGGTATGTGGGATTTTCGAATGCGAAATATCGACCTATCACATACGTCGTCTTATGTCTGGGAAAATGCGATTTTTCGAGTTTTCATGTGGTTTTCTTTCCAATTATCGTCTAAAATACGATATAACAAAAAAGAACTCCGATCGAAACTCGGTCGCCCAAGTACTAACAATTTATACAACACAATACACGGTACATCCGTATCCAGGCATTCTTCGTCCAGGACTAACGTAACTTAAATAAACCTTAATTAGTCTATATCAGCAATGATTTCGATTTTTTACTTATTACATGCTTATTTTTAATGATTGCTGTTACATGAATGTTTATAACATAGAGAAATATACTTGGAAATATAAAGAGTTTTCTACTTACCATCGTGTTCAAGGTTGCTCATATTTTTTCTTGTTAAGTCTGTCCGTGACCTGATATCGTTTTCGTGTCTCATGCATTGACTCTTACAGCTCAAGGGACAAGGGTTAAACGTCACGTTAACCCTAGATAGCTAACGTTATTCAATACCTCTTATAAGCTAACCATCCGTCAAAACGACGGGTATTTAATAATTGGTGGTTTTTTACTTGTAGTAATAATTTAAATGAAATATTTTTTATTTATAGGATACTGTTAGGGATTTGAAATAAAATACATCTTTAAAGTTTAACTTACTAAGTATATTTTTTATTTGGCACAAACTTTTATAAGGCACTATAAAAAAATGAGATCAATTAGTATGAAATCTTAGAACATGCAAAATCAACTATTAAATCCGCAGTAATGTCGTTATTTGACATTTCTGTAGTATAACAAAACTTATAAAAATAAAATGACGAAAACTTACTTATTTATCTTTGGCACAAGTAATGCATAAATCAACCTTATGTTCACCACAAATCGGTTTCTTACAAGTGGCACATATCGTTTTTGTCATACGCTTTTTTTTATAATGACATTGACTACACGTTTTCCTCTTACGCGCTTCTGTTGCCGTAGATGTCGAAGCTACTTCAGGGTTACCAGGTTCAATATCTGATGATGTACCAGGTACTTCAGGTTCAGGGCCAGCTCTTGAATTAGTCAAAGTTCGGGATTGTTGGAACTGTAGAACACTATGGATATTGTCAATTACGTGTCTAGGCATGGTTGTAACTGCCAGTCTTACTTTTAGCCAAGGTTCTGCAAGCTGGAAGTATAAAGCTTTCAGAAAGTCTCTTCTAGGTGTTACCTTTTTACCAGATGTCGTCAAATTGTGGCAATAAATAACATAACTATTGATGGTAGCGATATTTATCATTCCATAAAAGACACACATAGGCCATCTATTTGTCTTCCTACTACATGACATATTTGAACACATCTGGTCTAGTGTGTCCACTCCTCCTTTGGTCGAATTGTAATATTCAATCATATGGGGCTTGTTAGATGTTACATTCACGGTGCCCTCCTCGTCGCAGGACGACAACATATAAACAATTTTTGACGGTTTTGGTTTGAATGACAGTAAGGTAAGTGGCCCATCATAACAAAATATAGAACTGCCGACTTCTCTGGTCCTAGAATTCTTCAGTTCTTCAGGAATTTCCCGTTTATTAGCTCGAAGAGTACCCACTAAAGTCAACTTATATGGCTCTCTTTCCAGGCTCTTCGCCAACGGTATAGACGTAAACCAATTATCCATGGTCACATTTCTATTCGATCCATGGATGCTGCGGGTCAGTTCTTTTACAAAATATTCACCTAGGGGCAATCCACCAGTATCCGTGCATTTTCCTAGGTATGGAATGGCATCTAACATGTAGTATGTGCCACTATCACACATCATTTCTATTTTAATCCCATATTTTGCTGGCTTATTGGGAATGTACATACGAAATTTGCATCTTCCGCGAAAGCCCAGTAATTGCTCATCTATTGTCACATTGGACCCCGGAGTGTAGTTACTGCGACATTGAGCTATAAACATATCCCATATGACTCTAATAGGTGTAAAAGGATCATTTTGTAAATGTTGTAGGCGAATATCTCTATCATCGAAACGTAAACATCTCAATAAAAAATCAAATCTCTCTCTACTAAGAGCGGCAACATAACCAAGGCCACAAAAAATTTTGTTGAAAATTTCGTCGGTGGTCAAGTGATTGTCCTTTAGAGCTGCTGCCAAAATGAGTAATGCAACTAGAGCTTTCATTTCCATTATATTTGTATCTTTTTGTGTAGCGGTAATAGTCTGATAATTTGCTCTTTTTACGCTTATCTCTACATTTGTCCATTTCACAATTTCTTCAAAAATATTTTCAGTATAAAATTTTTCAAAACATTGCAGCTCACCTGTGATTCCTCTACAGGAACGGGTTGGTCCTCTCGATGTGCGTACAATATTTCTGATCGAGGTTCTTCCGGAAGTCTGCCCCTTGGAGGTTGCCCATAAATGTCGATTTTTACCTCTAATGTTTGCTTGCGGTAGCTGTATAATCCGCGAGGATGGAGGTCTTACAAGCTGATTTGTGGGCGAGCTGGAGGCAAGCACCTGTGCTGTGACTTGTGGATCTGCTGGAAGATCATCTTCAGAGTCCGAAGGCTCATAATTTTCATCGTCTTGGACACAATCTTCCTCGACGAAGTCTTCGGTTTCGCTGGCAGAATCGCCCTCAAAATTGTCCTCATTCAGTTCATCATTTATAATAGCAGATATTTCATCGCTATTCAGCATTGAATTTCGTGCCATTGTAAAATCTACAAAAAAAAACAAATTTGAATGAAAAAATATACAAAAGTGTCAACTCACTTCAATTCTAAAAAGTTACGCTAAAGCTAACCATCCGTCGAAATGACGTGTCAAAGTTAGCGTAACTCGAGAACTATAACACTTACCTGAGTGACGCGTGTGCCGATGCGACCGTCCAGGCGGGCACTGAGGTCATATAACGCGACGGCTCGTGCGGACTCAAAATTAAAAAGGGACAGTGATATTAATTCTCGGTACCCGTCGAATCGACGGAGGTTAGCTATCTAGGGTTAATACCGCATACTAAAGATTTTTTAAAATCTAATATAAATACAGTATCTAGGCATCTACTTGACTGAATAATATCCAATAACAAACGCAATAAAAATGAAAAATAGATATAATACAGTTTGATAGACCAGTTTTCTTTAAATTTATATTCCTGCTAAATATCTCCTATGCTTATTTAAAACTTTTTTCTTTGGTGAGATACTTTAATTGAAAACTTCACTAAACTGTCATTTGCCATTATTTCCAAAAGTTTCCAACAGGTGACAAAATAAGGCAATTACGTAAATAAAGTAATAGAAGTACCTACTTAATAGCTTTAAAACATATTGTTTTTAAACTATTACTTTGTATAATACTTTGTTAGATTTACGCGAATATTTGACATTTTAAATAAAACTATCTTTTCGGATTATTTGGATTTTTGGTTTCCGACGTTTCGAATGCTTTACAGTATTCAATACAACAGCAGAAAGACTCTTTCCCGTGACCATGATTGCTGTAAAGCATTCGAAACGTCGGAAACCAAAAATCCAAATAATCCGAAAAGATAGTTTTATTTAAAATGTCAAATATTCGCGTAAATCTAACAAAGTATTATACAAAGTAATAGTTTAAAAACAATATGTTTTAAAGCTATTAAGTAGGTACTTCTATTACTTTATTTACGTAATTGCCTTATTTTGTCACCTGTTGGAAACTTTTGGAAATAATGGCAAATGACAGTTTAGTGAAGTTTTCAATTAAAGTATCTCACCAAAGAAAAAAGTTTTAAATAAGCATAGGAGATATTTAGCAGGAATATAAATTTAAAGAAAACTGGTCTATCAAACTGTATTATATCTATTTTTCATTTTTATTGCGTTTGTTATTGGATATTATTCAGTCAAGTAGATGCCTAGATACTGTATTTATATTAGATTTTAAAAAATCTTTAGTATGCGGTATTAACGTGACGTTTAACCCTTGTCCCTTGAGCTGTAAGAGTCAATGCATGAGACACGAAAACGATATCAGGTCACGGACAGACTTAACAAGAAAAAATATGAGCAACCTTGAACACGATGGTAAGTAGAAAACTCTTTATATTTCCAAGTATATTTCTCTATGTTATAAACATTCATGTAACAGCAATCATTAAAAATAAGCATGTAATAAGTAAAAAATCGAAATCATTGCTGATATAGACTAATTAAGGTTTATTTAAGTTACGTTAGTCCTGGACGAAGAATGCCTGGATACGGATGTACCGTGTATTGTGTTGTATAAATTGTTAGTACTTGGGCGACCGAGTTTCGATCGGAGTTCTTTTTTGTTATATCGTATTTTAGACGATAATTGGAAAGAAAACCACATGAAAACTCGAAAAATCGCATTTTCCCAGACATAAGACGACGTATGTGATAGGTCGATATTTCGCATTCGAAAATCCCACATACCACATACCAAATTTCAGCGAAATCGTTAGAGCCGTTTCTGAGATCGCCTGTACATAATGTATAAATAAATAAATATACAAAAATTGCTCGTTTAAAGGCATTAAGATGTGTGTGTTCTATACATATGTATACATCGTAGATATCAATATACATATAATACATTAATTTATTTAACGTATACTAATAAATCAATATTATCTAATCATAATCTATTATAAAATTTGCTAACTAAAGGTTAAGTTTTCATATGAGATGGAACAAATAAATGTCACGTTGCATTGAGCAACCCTAATTCTGACACCTCGGCATCTGAATTATATAATTATAACACTATCATACGCGGTTGCGAAAGGTGAGACACTTGCTGAAACCGGAGACACTTGTCACACCTACTTAGCTCTATAGTGTTTGACGTAATTACGTAGGTTTCTTTCATTTGCCATTAAGCCAAAACGTGTTTGGAATAGTCCATTGATATTAAAACGAATGTATGCAGCTGAGAAAAAGTACAATTCTTTACCTTTTCCCTAGGTTGATTCCCCATACAAACTTTCATCCTCATTTTCACCCCCCCTATTGGATGATTTTCGTGACAAAAAGTGTCCTCTTACCGAATTTCATCTAAATCAGTTCAGTAACTCCAGAGATTATTCCCTACAACCTCACAAACTTTACCGCTATATAATATTAAGTATAGATAAAAAAGATATTAAGTGTATTATGTAAGGAAAATTAATTATTATCATTAAAAGTTTTGTAGCAAATATATAATTTTATACAACAAAATATTTTTAAATAATTCTAATTATAAAAAGTCTAAATATACATATACATACATACATATATTAGATACGGTACGGAATACATCACTATTTAATTATAAATATTTAAATATCGGTATAAAAATTAAACACCTGTGGACCCCCGGGCTGATATTGACCTACGATGAGAAATGTAAATTTCACTTTTAATAGAGATATAGATTTCGTTTTTTCTTATCTTAAATTAAAATTTTCTAATCAATTCCGCTTAAAACTCGACGATACCGCTTGCGTTGCGTATAACTTTCTAAAATATCGTAAACACACATGTTAGTAAACTACTTATTTTCAATGGACATACACATCTATATGCAAAATCTTATAAACCACAAAAAGACAGACAAGCCGCAGGTACTTAGGAATATTTATAATAATAATGATATCATTACAATGATCCCCATTAAAATTCTTGACACATCGACCATTCATATCTGTCCTCTACGAAATCCAGAAAGGGTGAATGACACAGCTTATACGTATCAGAAATCAAAGTGTTATTCAAAGTAGTGTTCGCAAACAATGTAGATTGCAAGGTCGCCGAGATGATAGATCGCATTCAAGAGCCGAGGTCAGAACTGGTTGCTCTCGGTACTCGTTTCACGTTTGGTTTAGAAATGTGGAAATCGTTGTAGGCCTACCTAATATAAATACGCGGAAAAACTAAAACTTCGGCTTTTCTAGAACCCTTATCTTAGTAATATTATTGATGTAAACGTGTAGATGGATGTTTGGATGTTTGTTACTCAATCACGTCAGAACGGCTGAACAGATCTGGATGAAATTTAGCACAGTGATAGATTATAGTCTGGAATAGCATATAGGCTACTTTTTATCCCAGAACTATGTACATTTTTCGTGGGATAATTTATTTCTGTTTTTGCTAGTAATATTGTGAAAGTGGCATCTTTTTATCCTGTTACTTCAAACCTATTTTAATATAGATAGACCTATGCTCTTGATATGTTGCAAAGTAAAAAGTCTCCTACGAACGTTTCGAAAGTCCTTTTTTGAGAAACGCTCTGTATTCATATAAAATATTAAAAATAAAAAATAACTTTATATATGTACAATGTACATAGGACTAAAACAGACAACTTCGCATATTTTTCCTAGGTATATTTATTTTCGCGTAAGGAACTACTTCTTGGTGAAGTAGGACCAAAGTCCAATTTTTATTGCTCACATCCTCTTTTACGTCTTCATTTATGTACATGACCTTAAAAATAATTTTTGTCTGTATTTCTATTATACTCACCTACTAACAACGAATTCCAAAATTTTAGATGGCAATATAAATAAAAAAAAATACCTCTTAATATATCTAATAGCACAGATCATATAATACTATACTAGTACTAATAGACAGTCAGATTTATTTATGGAGAGATGTTGGTAAATAATTCTATTATATTCTATTCTATTATTTAAATTTATGATTCTACTTAGGATTACCGAAAAAAATACATAATCAATACCAAATTGCTGCTTAAGAAGTCATGATTTATATATTTTAAGTAAAAATATCATGTCGGATTTTTTTGCGATTTTATTGAGATTTTTGATTCCCAACGTTTCGAATGCTTCACAGTGGATTCGCGTAAATATACGAAAGCTAAAATGTAGTTACAGTTGGAGAGTCCTATAACATTATCGAAATAAGACAGTAAACAAGCACCATATGTAGTATGTAATCCAATGTATTATGCTAACGCGATATTGTGTCATCGACCGTCGGCCATTCCTTCCATCCGTGAACTCAGTCGCTACGCACTTTACATGCTCGTAAGAACTTTTAATTTTAATCGTCCCTTATACTAAAAAAATGCGAAACATGTGTAAATGTATGAATGGGCTGCTTTTTTTCTTTTTTCTTTTCTTTTAGGACGTTTGGAAACAATTAAGGGAGCAAAATTTTTACGATGCGCGCTTACACCGACAGCCAAAAAGCGACATGATGAAGTTAGCTGATAACTGTATGTTGCCATGGTAACCGTTGTAATTTTCTGACAAATGATGTATAATATTATATTCTTTCCTTAAATGATATTGTACAAATATATATGACTGTAATATGGATAATATGCAATATTTAATAATTTTATCATTCCTTTCACTTACAGAGAGTTGTGACATACGGGATGAAATCTTTAGCTATTTTTATTCTGTTACGCCAAAGAAGTATAACTTTTTACGTGCATACATAAGTACACACACACGTTTTTTTTTAAATCTGCAGACGAGTTTTGGATTCAAATATATTTTTACATAGACGTTGGTTATGGACCTGAGTGTTACATATTATGTATATATTTTGACCGCCGACAAAAGAGGTATTCAAATTTTATGTTATTTTTTACGTATATGTTACGCTGTTTACTCGCAAATGATCAACGGACTTTCATTATACATTTTATTTATTTAATTAAGATGTCCTAAAACGTTTAATTAATAA